AATTCACTGTCACACAGATATATAAGAAGTTCAGGGGTGGTTACCTTCAGATCTGGCTGGATTCAGGGGCTCAACGGTGGAGTCTGGGCAGTTTCTCTCTACCCTATGGGATCCCCTCCCAGGGAAGAAGGCCATGACGCAGAGCCGCAGAGTCTCTGCTGGGTGACCCAGCGGGAAGTAACCGAACATGTATGTCGTCAAGGGTCTGGTTGGCCCAGCACAGTGACCTAGGGAAGACTAGCCATACACAAAGGAGGCAGAAAAGCGTGCAGGTGAGAGCCAAGACTGTCCTCCCTGAGTCTCAGTGAATGCAGTTCTCACTTTCCAACGCCTTAAACGAGTCAGAGGCACAGTCAACCTCTGTAAATAGTCTAACTCCCAATGCTGTGTGACCTTCCCAAGCTACTCAACCACTCTGTTTCCTCATTCGTAGAACTGTGATAATGATATTGTTGTGAAAATTCAAAACACCAATGAATATCGCCCTAGTTAAGCCTAGGGCCTGCCACTTAACCAGCAATGGATAATTTTTGGCTATTTTGATTATTAATTTCTAGGAGTCGTATATTTCTGTGCCTGAGTAACTTAATGAATCTCTAATACAGGTGCTAATTAGGATGATTCCCTAAGACGAAGAAATGAGGTGCAGACTTGGTGATGCTTTGCTTGGCCTGGGGGTGGGGGTGGGGGTGGGCAGGCAGTGGTCTAGCTCTAGGAGAGTGTCCTGAGCTGGCGCCGATATCCCTCACAGTCATCCTGCCCTTACCATCCCCCTTCCTCCCCTAATCACACCTGTTCTCCCGGCCACATGGATGCACGGGACTGGCTGGATGCTACTTCATTCCCCTGGCCACTGTAACTGGTCCAGAGTCCAGCTGCCTATGCTGTACTGAGCCAAGAAGAGCCCTTCTTTGGGATTTTTTTCCAGGGGGAGCTGGAGACAGAATTTGTTTCAACTCTGGGGACACACTGCTGAAAGGATGTAATGCTGAGGTCATGGGCAGAAACATGGGTCATGCCCAGATCTGAATTAGAGAGGAGAGCTGGCTCCCTATGTCTGATGTCCTGAGCCCACCCCGCAGGGCCCCTCCCTGGGGTGCGGCCCCACCCAGGTGCCCAGGACTCCTCTCCCTCCCCATCGGGAATGAGAACTCTGTCCTGTTCCTGTCCAGAGGCCTCATGGACCAAGGAGGGCCATTCCCCGGCCCTCACTCTCACTCCTGACTCTCCAGACTAAAGTCGGTTACCTTTGCGAACAGACCGTCAGACAATTGACTGATCAGACAGCCAGACACCACGTCACCCTTGCCATCAGTTTTGCTGCTCACATGGTGACCATTCTTCCCACTTCGCCTCATTTTATTTCAAATCAATGGCCCAGAGCACCAGGGCTGGAGTGAAGAAGTGCCCCTCAGGCAGAATACAACCACTTTTTCTTTTTCAGATTAATGTTTCTGGAGGCTGAGATAGAACATTCGGTATGGCTGGGTTTCCTGCCTTGATTTTCATTTGTGGTTTCCCAGGTAGAGGCAAACGAGGCCAAATCACAATCTCAGCATCAAAATCCCCACGTCTCTGGCTTTAATTTCCAAGTCACAAAAATGCAGGTACTTGTGGCTCATCCCAGAAGGACAGAGGGGGGGGGGAGACCCCCTTCCTCCTGGTGGCCCAGGTACACACTCCCCAGCACTTCACACCACTTAAAAGATTCTGCCCAAACTGCCAACAATGTGTTACAAACAAAGCCCTTCCCGAAAATGGATCAAAAACACTTTGTAATAAGTGTAGGAGCTGCTTTCAAAAGGGCCAATGCCTAACAAAATCCCCGGTCCTGGGTGATCAACACTGAATAGCCCAACACAGTTTGGGAAAACCTCCCCCAAAGCTCCTACACCTGAAGTAGTTATCTACACCAATCTATCCGCACACATACGCATCAGAAGCGTTGACTTTTATTCACTTGTTTGCAGGTATCATATACATTCCCTGGATATTCAGCTTATCTGGTCAACATATTCCAGAAAGAAGAGCTGTAGAAGATTTGGAATAATCTTTGTCTAATAGTTGCTAGATAATGGATCCAAATGCCACAAATACCAGTGGCCTTTTAACCTGCATGGGTGTTTCCCCTAAAAGAGAGCAGGTGCCATTCCTTTTTCTCTTTCAGGACTTTCCTTATAACATCCCTTCAACACCAGCAGATCTCCTCACTGCTCAATGTGGGGCAGCCCACATCACAGAGCTAGGCACACACGGGCTCTCGACAAGGGCTTGTTGAAAGGGTTCTGGCTTTGTAGCCTCACGAGCCCTAGTACATCTTCCCGGTAGATGCTCACCGCTCCAGATTATAAACTCCATTTCCTTATCTGTCTATACGACCGAACTGTGGGTGCCTTTGACCCTGATGCCCCGCTCCTCCCTCTTCCATTCCTCCGGAATGCTCCCCGCCAACATCAATTACTGGTTGGCTGTACTATCCAGATTCGAGGTGCCGGCTCTTGGCTCTAACCCTTATAGGAATACAGGGGCTGGGAAAATCAATTGTGTTAATCGGCAAAACTCTCCACTGGAGATGCTATCCTAAAAGGAAACCACATGTAAAACACTTAAAGAGGGGAGCTCTGTAGTATGTTTCTTTTGTTATACGACCCTCGCACGTTTGTCCGGAGTTTGGGGCTTTCAAACCACACAAGGTTTTATGCGATCATTATAAAATCCCTTCTTTTCCCAAAGGCAGGGTAGTAAGGATTAAGTTTGAATACTGAAGACAGCTTTGTTGTAAATGGTCTCTAATGTCACAAAAGTAGCTTGGAAAGAAAGGCTTATTAAACAAATTTCTTGGGTTGCAAATCACTGAAAGCAATCACATGTCATGTTCATTTGTTTAACCTGAAAGGTATCCATTTGGCTGTTTAAAGAAACGATGCAAATTAACATGGTTCCCAGTGGCTGATCTGAAAGGACATTCAGGGAGGCCCCTTGAAGAAGTAAGTGACATTGAGCATACACTCCTGTGTTTTTCCACCTCTTTTGCAAAAAGTTGTTCATGGGAACCTGAAGAATGGGATATGATTTATTAAACCACAGATGGGAAACCACAAAGGAACCTTGTCCGCCTAGTTCCGTCATCCTACAAACAGAGAAGTCCGGTGGATTACACAGTGAGAGGCTGGCAGGACTGCATCCCAAATCTCCTGACCTCACGTTCCTTCCTCGCCAAGCCATCTCCCAGATTTGGGGCTCTCCTTGTGTTGCTTTAAACAATAGAAAGTGCTTGTAGGTGAGGATGTGGGTATAATGGGACAAAGGAATGAGGGATGGGAGGGTGTTATAAGTTTCACAGGAGCCTATAGAAAAGACCAGAACAAACGGCAAAGATGTTTTGTTTCTCTTGCTTTCTTAGCTTAAGTGCTTACGGCTGCCTGGAGCAGCACTGAGAAGGATTCTGAGGCTGGGTCCAGTCTTACTGGAGAAAAGTACTTGATCTGAACAGCAGTGTGTACCCAGGGCCTAGTTCACTTTCCAGAGGCAGCTATTCTGAACATGTCCCAGCCGAGGTGTGACCCTGGGTGGTGACCTTGAGAGGATCCACGATGCACCTATAGAGTCACTGGGGCTTATCACAAAGCAACCTTGGTTCTTTGAACAAATTTTTATTAACAATCTTACTATGTTGAGCCATCCAAGTCATGAATATCCCAATAGAGTAGTTGTGCACAGAGGCAGAGTGAAGATTTCTTTCCCATTAAGAAGACAACCTAGGAGCTGCATAGATGGGGACCCACGGGTATGTGGCCTCTCTTAAGCTTTGAGGGATACTCCCAGGGCGCCTTGTGCCCCATCAAGCTGGATACAATGTGTCTATAGTGTTTCCTGGGGCTGCCATAAAGGGCACCACAAAAATGGGTGTCTGGAAGCAACACACACGCTGTCTCGCAGCTCTGGAGCTCAGGAGCTGAAATTCAAGGTGTGGAGAGTGCTGTGCACCCTCTGAAGGTTCTAGGGATGGGTGCTGCCCATGGCTCTCTGGCCCCACCTGTTCCTTGGCTCCAGGATGCATCCCTCTGCACCCTCCGTCTTCACACAGCCCTCCCTGTGTCTGTCTTCACCTGGCCTTCTGCTTTCAAGGACCCCAGTCGCCCCAATGACCCACTGTAACTTGTTACCTCTGCAAAGATCCTGCCTCCAAATAAGGTCACGTTCTGAGTCTGGGGGGGGCGGGGAGGGTTGGGACTCCGATGTATCTCTCTGGGGGAGCTCAGCTCCGCCGTAACAATGTGCACACAGCATGGAGCAGGGCCTGGCACCCCTGTGCTCACTGAATGGCCCCGAGGCTGGCCTGGCTGCCAGGGCCCAGGAATCTGGGTGCATCTAGGCCGTGGTGACCCGCGGGACCTGAGGGGCCCTAATCGGCCCCCTCGGGCCCCAGCCCCCTCTGCTCGTGCAGCCACCTGGAAGGCGCCTGGAGTCCTGCGGGTCCCTGCCCGCTGGAGCCCAGGCAGGCGGCCCCGCGCTCCGGGCACCTGCCGCCCCGGGAGCCCGCAACACGGTCGGTGGGCGCCCCGGCACGCACCTCCCCACCGCTCCCCGCACGCACCACGGGGCGCGGGCCTGGCATTTGCAAAACTGAGGCACAGAGCGGCAGAGGCGGACGCAGGCGCCGGGCCCAGGCCGCCGGGCGGGAGCGGGAGAGGCGGACCCGAGGGCGGGAAGACCCGGCGGGGCGGCGCCAGGCGGCTGCGAGGCTGCGCGCAGCGGGGTCGGCCCGGGCGCCGCCGCACTGGGCATGCTCCGAGCCGGGCGCGCGCTCCGGGTCGGCCCCGCCCCGTCCCCGTCGGCCCCGCCCCTCGCCGCGCTTCCTGGCCCCGCCCCCTCCGGGCCCCTCCGCGCGCGTCGGCTCCCGCGCCCCCGCCGCGCTTCCGTCACGCCCAGGCCCCGCCCCGCGGTGACCCCGCCCCCCGCGCCCGGCCCCGCCCCCAGGCGTCTCGGCCCCGCCCCCCGCGCCCGGGACATGCCCGGGCAGCGCGCGCCCCCGTGGTCCCCGGCGTCCGTGCGCTCGCAGCTCCTCGCCGTCGGCGGCTTGGGCGACGCGGTGAGTGTCTGGTTGCTGCCCTCCGCCCGCGGCAGGGCCTGTCTAGGCCGACGAGGCGTTGGGGCCTGTGGCTCTGTGGGCTCCTTCCCCTGCCGTAGGTGTGGGGCCTGCGCGCGCCCCATCCACTCCGCCCAGACCCCACGTGCGCCCCGGGGCGCCAGGTGCGGCCCACCCACCCTCCGCCCAGGTCCCACATGTGCCAGGTGCACCAGGTGCGGCCCACCCACCCTCCAACAAGGTCCCACATGTGCCAGGTGCACCAGGTGCGGCCCACCCACCCTCCAACAAGGTCCCACATGTGCCAGGTGCACCCAGGTGCGGCCCACCCACCTTCCGCCCAGGTCCCACATGTGCCAGGTGCACCCAGGTGCGGCCCACCCACCCTCCGCCCAGGTCCCACATGTGCCCAGCTGCGCCAGGTGCGGCCCACCCACCCTCCACCCAGGTCCCACATGTGCCCAGCTGCACCAGGTGCAGCTCACCCACCCTGGGCCTGCCTCTCCCCACCCACTCTGCCCAGGTCTCACATGTGCCCAGGTGCGGCTCACCCACCCCAGACCTGCCTCTCCCCACCCACAGTCCGCCCAGGTCTCACATGTGCCCAGGTGCGGCCCTCCCACCCCAGGCCTGCAGCTCCTGGACCACATTGAGCTGCGGTGACAGCGGCCTGCTGTGGGCTGCAGGCTGCCCCCGTCACACCTCGACTTGGCCAACACCTTCGAGGCCCTCCCCTGTGCACGCTCTTGCCTCGCACGCTGCTGATGCACGTCCAGGAACGCTGTCCGTCCGCCTTCTGTTCCCAGGAAGCTTCAGAGGCCTCGACCCAGGCCCTTCCTTGCAGCGAGCCTTTAGCATCCTCCGTGGGCGGAATTCCACGCCTCCTGCCCTGTTTAAGACCATGTTCTGGGGTCCTCATGATCGTGGCTGGTGTCTGTATTCGTTTTACCCGAATTGCCTCCGTAAACACTTGGGGTAAACAAGCAGAGTGTGTGAGCCCTTCACGCTGGGCACCCTGATTCCCAGGTCAGTGGAGACACAGTAGGGCAGTGCTCATCCATCCCTCACTCACTGGCTCATCATTTCCTGAGCCCCCGGGATGGTCTTGGCTGCGAGGCCTCTGCCCAGTACTTGGGTTCCTGTTCTCCAGGCACCTTGTGTGGATGGAGCGCAGCGTCTGCTCGGTCAGGTGGGTGGACAGTCATCCCACAGAGGCGCTGCTTTGTCCACAGAGGGGCCGCCTCTGCTGCATGTGGCAGAGCACGAAGCTGCTGAACGTAACCAGCGAAGAAGCGGCTGGCTCTTTAAATAGGAACCGTGGAGCATCTGAGGCGGGCCCTCCTCTCCATCTCCCAGAGACAGATGAGGAAGAGATGGCTCTGCTGTTTCCCAGTCCTTCAGTGGAGAAAACACAGACGTGAAAAAGACATTAAAAAGGAGAGCATGCTAAGGGTAAAACAGATTTAAGGAAACAATGTCAGAGCTCTCCTCCCACCCCTGGCCATCCACAACCCCCCCCCCCCTCCGCCCCCGCCCCCGGGGCCAACAGGGAGCTCACATTGTGTTAGCTCAGACACATTGTCCCGAGGGCAGTTCACACCAAGTCCACACCTGCGAGGGCCAGAGTCTGCAGGACACCAGGAGACTTGGCCTTGCTCTGGCAAGTGTCGCATCTCTCCTGGGTTCTTGTCTCCAGTCGGAATTGGAATAGTAGAGGCTGTTGCGCTGTGGGGGCAGGATGAACCCATCCTCACGGGCAAGAGCCATAGTAAGGCACCTTTTCTATGCGAATATTCTTTTTTATTAAAACAAATCTGTATTGTAAGAGCTAGATTTTTAGACTTCTTAGACCCTGCTTTAAAAAGGCCTTCACTGCTGGAGGGGGAAGTTTAAAGAGATAATGCACTAGGCATGGACGTGATGGAAACATCTCTTGTTCAGCAGAGATTCTCAGACTTTTCTTTTCCTCTCTGGTTTGGTCTCACTTGGGTATCAGTTGGATCTCACCTGGGCCCCCCACTTGGGCCTTCCAGCCCCATAGTTTCCTGTGCCGGTGTGCAGGTGTGGGCCTGGTCTGTCCGTGCAGGAAAGAAGGGCAGGGGGCCCGAGGGAGAAGGAGCCACCCTGGCGGTCCTGCAGAGCTCATTCCTCCGCTCTCCCGCCTCAGGAACCCAACGGTGTGCTTCTCAGTGTTGTTCAATGAAGTAACCTTGCTAAACTGTCTTTATCTTCCTTATTTTGCAGAGGACATGTAGAAGCCAGGGATTCAAACCAGCAACACGGTTCTATTCTGACTCCCTGTTTTGGGCCTCAAGGCTGTTTTCAGTTTATAGTGTAGTCTCCTTAGTAGAAAAAGCATGGAAGCAAAACAGTATTTTCTGTGGTCATCTGTTAGGTTTGTTTTTATGCTTCCCTGTGACCTTACCTAACTACTTACTAACTCTACCTATACAGTTCCTCTTGTGCGTCCACTTTCCTTGAGGGTTTTGGCGTCCTATCACGTCTGTGGTCACTGCAGACACGTACTTTGGGGCCCCAGCCTCTGAAAGGCCCTGAGCTGCTTTGGCTGCCGTCCTCGTCCTCCCTGATGGGTTCCCTGGTTCTGGCAGGGCAGCTTCTGATACAGCTGCTTTCTGAAGGAGCTTGGGTCTTAGCTCAGAGTGTTACTCACACAAAACCTGAAACTGTAAAAATTGGGAACGTGTGGACTATGACATTACCATTGGGTGAGTGGATTCCCTGTCCTTCTTCTCAGGTGCTGGTGAGCAAACAAACCCAGCAGCACCCCATTCTTGGTTTAAAGTGAAAGTCTGTGGTTATCTGCATGGGAGAGGGGGTTTGAGCTGTGCAGGCGGGCCAGTTTTCCCTTGCTGCACAGGATGCACGTCCCCTTCTGTTAGCTCTGGAGGCCTGTCGTGAGCAAAGGCAGATGAAAGTCTGAGACCCAGCATTGTAGACAAAATACTGCCACGTGTGTGTTTGTGGCATTTGGGTAACTGGTGCGTATTTGCTGGTCACCGGCAAGAGTCATTTTCTTTTGACGTAAAAAATTAATAATAAAATGCTTAGATGGAGGGGTCAGTGCAAGATTTTGGGAAAACCGTATTATGGAATATAGTGAATGACTTATTCCTGTATGTAGCTATTAAAATGAATTGTCTAAGAGGAATAAATCATTTTGTGACCTTTTGTAACCTTTGAAGGAATCAGAGTGGTTTCGGCAGATGTGGCTTGTATGTAAATCGGTCACGGTGTCTTGCCAAAGTGCTCAGAATCCCTGGCAGGTAAGCCAGTCTGTGGCTGCCACGCTCCTGATGTCTGCTTTAGAGAAATAACTAAATACATAGGCAGCCCCAGGGGCCACTGACACGGCGGTGACACCGTTGACTACGTGTTAAATGCTGAAACTTGTTTTTGATACGACAAGTTGTTTTCAATTAGATCAGGGGCTTAGAGGAGTGGGGGTCTCCAGGGAGGCAGGCCACATGTCCCTGCCACCCCCCCCCGCCCCCGCATCCCAGAGTAAACTTCTGGCTTGTGATACCGCCGTGGAAAAACCAGTTAAAAGTTCCACAGAAACATTTCCTTACAGTTGCTAAATTTGTTGTCGTCTATGTACGTGTGTAACCGTGAAAGGGATTGTGAGAGAGTTATAAATGCCTCCTGTGTTCACTGTACCACTTCAAAAATTGTCTTGTTAGAATAATTTCCTACCGGTAGCACTTGTGAAGTCAGCAGAGTATCCAGCCCGAGGTCCATCGCCCATTCCCAGAAGTCTGGGGGCGAAACTGAACGCGCAGTCTGCCAATGGCACCACTCGTAAAAGCAGGCACTTGTTAAATCTATTTGTTTTTATTATAGACATCGATCTGCCAGTCGCAATAATGCATTTATGGACATTTTTCTGCAAGCACAGCGCTGGTGGCAGTTTTTACTGACAAATTGAGTCATATGGATAGTAGTTTAGAAAACTCTTACCTTATTGACAGATCGGGCGATTCCTGCAGTGGGCGTTGAGAGGTATCCGGATGGGTGAAGAGAGAGAATTGAATCATGGGGCAAAATATGGGATGGGACATTGAAATGTGGACATTTCATGAGTAACTGGCGGTTACATCCCATTTGTTTTTAAATTGTTAGCTACAGTTTACTCCTCAGTCAAAAGGCCTACATGTTGGGACCAATGATGTTACCTTCAGATTTTGACCTGGTTGTTCGGGGTCGTTAGTAAGAGCGACCACTGGAATGTGGGAGCTGATGCTCTCCTTGGAGTGGGAGATCCATGAGCCATAGCAGAACAGCGTTCTCAAGTGGTGGTCTGAGCCCCGCTGGCATCAGGATTACCGAAGGTGCTGGTTAAAAAAGGCGGATTATACGGCCCCTTGCCAGACCTATGGGATCAGAACCTGGGGATCTGTGTCTTTACAGGCTTCTCAGGGTATTCTAGGGACCCTAATGTTTGAGCATCTCTTGAGGAATCTTTAGGATGGCTGAGAAAGAATGCTCTCCGGTGCAGATGAGCAATGGAGTTCCCCTTCCGGAAGGGTCCATTCGCAGCCAACGTTGTTCTCACTTGCCTGTGCTCATGGATCTGTGTATGGTTTTGTAACTCCTCAGAGACATGTGAATCTCTTCAAATTGCACACCCAACATGTTATCATAGCGTTATAGTTTTCGGTCTTGTGGTTATGACAAAAGATGCAGATGTTACCAAAACTTTGGCATTAGTTTTACAAACAAAGTGAAGCATGGACAGCCCTATTATATTTCCCTCCTGTCTTTCCTTTTGACTGGCTGGTGTCTTTTTTTTCCCCGCTGTGGGTAGAAGCATTTTCCTGGTCTCGGGTGAGGGTGAACTTTCAGATACACCACTGAACGTGTTTTTGTGGAACTGAGTTGGGTTTTTATGTAGGAAGAGTGGCGTCAGAACATGGGAGGGATTTTGGTGGTGCTGTCTACTAGTTGGGTGACTCTTTGTTTTGTTTTGTTTTTTGTTTTAGAGA